TGGGGGTGGAGCCTGAGTGGTGGGTTTAGATTCAGAGGAATTAGCTGTGTTAGTCTGTTGCTGCAAAATAGTCCAAGAGTTCAAATAGCACCTTTAAGACTAACAAATAGCACCTTTAAAACTAACCTTTAAGACTAAGACTGAGTGGTGGGTGTGGCCTTATGACACACTTCCGGTGATGTCAGGGAGTGTGGCCTTATGACACACGTCCGGTGATGGCAGGGGGTGTGGCATATGCTAATGAGTTATGCTAATGAGTTCCCCTAGTTCTTTTTCTACGAAAGGACCCCTGGGGGCCACAAAGGAGAAAGGGCAGAGCTGACTGTGGGAGATTTTCAGATGACTACAGGAGGGGAGTCATGGATACTGTTGGGTATGTCAGGGGGGCATTGTGCCTGTGGGGTTGACTGGACCTCTTCAGCAACTGCAGTTTTGGGGAAGCGGACGGAGTAGGTAGTTACTGTTCTCTGTTGGTGGTTATGTTTGAGAAAATAAATTAGCTATGCTTAAGGCCTGCAGAGCCTCAGCATTACCACTACCAGACATGAAAGATATTATAACCAGACATAGCAGATAGTATAATACATAGACACTAATGCACATCTTAAAAACAGTTAAATAGTCACCTCACCCCAGTACACAGAACAACAGCCAAAAACAGGGTTGTCAATTCTGTATTGGGAAATTCTAGATTTGGGGGCACTGCCTGGGAAACGTTCCTTTCCAGGCACCCCCTCACCCAAATTTCCAAGATTCCTGTGGTTCACCCTCTGAAGCTGCCATTTCCTCTTGGGAAACTGAAAGGGCTGCTAAGCCCTTGTGGGGGATTCCCTGCCTCCAACTCCTATTTTCCAATGCTGTTCTGAGCAGTAGCAGGAGAAAAATAAACAAAAACAAGTTGTAGGGCTGATGGTGTGATGTCCCTTCCAGGGAAAACCCGGAAGTGACATCATTGGAAACACTATGGCTTTACCATAGAGAAGCCTGATGTCACTTCTGAGTTTTCCTTGGAAGTGAGTCACAACATCACCAATGGCTGCCCCCCCCCACGTCTCCACCCCACTGTTTAGAAACTGATCTCTGTATCGTGAAGATCAGTGTGTATTGTGAAGATCAGTGGTGATTCCAGGGGAACTCCAGACCCCACCTGGAGGCTGGTAACTCTAGAAACCAAATATAGAACCAACACAAACACTCAGGTGTGCAAAGGGTTGCCAACTGCAGGTTGGGAAACTCCTGGAGATTTGGAGGTGGCACCTGGAAAGGGCAAGATTTAGGGAGGGGAGGGACCTCAGTGGGGTATAACGCCATACAGTTCACCCTCCAAAGAAGCCATTTTCTCCAGAGGAACTGAACTTTGTCATCTGGAGATGAGTAATTCCTAGAGATCTCCAGCAACCCCCCCCCCACATACACACGGCAACCTGCACAACAGCCCCACCCACTGGTATGGGGGTTCTTATATCACCATTACAATACATTATGTGAGGGTATAAAAGATGGTTTTCTAAAAGTACTGTGTAATTGATAAATAACAGTAAAAAATGGACTCAGCACCTAGCATG